TCTTATTATGGAATTGAAGAGTAAATTTGATAATATTATATCAAGAATTTTGTTTAGAAGGCAGTGCAGCTGCATCTTGCTCAGTATTAAATATGAAGGGAAAGAAAATTTCATCTGCTGGCTTGTAAGTATTGTGAAAAAGAGTCTGAGCTTGTCTGTTTCAAGCAGGCAAGTATCAGTTATTTGTTTGTAGTATATATTTGATGTAAATACACAAAAAAACAGAAAGACAGAAAGAGAGAAATCTATAAATTATTTGATCTGGTTGAAGGCTGGTCTTGGCATTTGTCAAGACTTCTTTCTAATCTAGTCTGATAGGCCTCCATATTGAGACACTAGTCTCTATGTAGTTAGTCTCCAGCTTAGCGGCTTGGATCTTCTTTAATCCAATGCAGAGTTTTTTGTCTTGCTTCTCATCCTACAATCCTTTGGGATGAGAGGAGGGGAAGCACACACATCTATTGAGTTCACATTCTGTGGTTCCTATAGCTTCCACATATGGTTAGTAGCCTTGTAGGTCCTTCTGAGAGGTTCTGAGCCCTTCTTTAGGAATCTTTGAAGCCTTTGGAGTTGCCAAAAGAGGAAAAACTCTTGATGAAATGATGGACATTGATCTGGAGAGCTCCTCAGCTCCAACCCCCAATCCAACCTCCAGAAATATGAGTCCAGCAGGACATATGGAGGATGCTAGCACCAATGTGGGTTCACATTCACAGCCAGCAGGCATCACACAGTGAGTTGGCTTTCTACAGGGTGGCATTGCAGGCCACCAGTTCAGAGAAACAACTCCCCAAATCAAAAGGAATTTCAATATAGCAGACAAAATGATTACAGACATCACTGGAACAACAATTCAGTCAATCCCCATGCTACAAGGCAAGAAAAATGTGAATACTTGGTTAAACATTGTCAGGTTGCAGCTAAACCACTATGGCTGGGGGATTCTATATGATGCAGTGGTGCCAGAGCCTACAGAGGCTTCTGAAGATATACAAATCAAATGGTGAAGTACCATGACATTCTTCACTACATGGCTCAGCTTAAGCATGAAAGATGATGCTTGAGATTGAATTAGCAAGCACTATAGAGACAACATTAATGACCCTGCTCTCATGATATTCTATACAAAGCAGCTCTTCCTAAAGCCTGATAAAAATACATGCATTCATGCAGTGGAGAATTATTTCTACACACATTAACATGACTATAGGTCAGTTATGCAATACCTTGATGTACTGCTTGAATGATACCAGGAGACATTGTAAGCTCCTCATCCATTATATCCTTCCCTAGTGATTAACAAGATAATTGAGGGTGTATGAGTGATTAATAAGAACTATGTGGATAGTGTGCTATCAATAGTTTGAAATACAAACCCAAGTGACATAACATATCAGGATATGAGGAATCTTGTGCAGGAGGCAAAGAAATATGTGGAAGCTCTGAGCAGTATATATATGGCTGGACAAACTAAATTCAAAGAGACTGCCCCCAACAAGCAAATCATATGGAAATATGCTCCACAAAAGGGAGTCTCATGAGATGATCATGTCAAATCCTTATGTGAAAAAATATCTAGCAAAATAGGTGACAACTACAGATATTGTGAGACTCTGGGTCATGCCATACAACAATGCCCTCACCTTTTTACCAACAAGAGATATCAAGAATGGAAGCCAAAGCCATATTTATGGATGAGATCAAGGCACAAAGGAAGATAGCACACAAATCCTGAACAGAAAAACCAGAGTCAATTCAAATCTCAGCAACTAAATTCCAGTGAAGATGCTAAGAATAATACAGGAGTAGAGTGGTATCCGGTTCCGGGATTTCCCATTCTGGTCCCAGATTCCTGTCCCAATTCCCATCCTGAGGATGGGATCAGGTTGAAGCTCAGCTTAATGGGATGGGACTGGGTTGTTTAACAGCATATTGGGACAGTTCTGTGGGAACTGTGATTGGGATGGAATTGGGATTGGGATTAAAATCTAGCTAGTAGAACAGGCCCAGAACCTGACATGACAAAATGGGATAGAACTGAGATTTCAATATTGTATATGGGACAGGACCAGTAAAGTGTAGGATGGGACTGGGAACTCTGATTCCATTTGTGTTGTTCAAAAGTAACAAAATTTGGTAACAGTTCTAACATAATTTTATCAATTTATTCAACTTTGGAAAAGTACTGAAATTTGGTAATGCTCTTTGCATAATTGAATCATATTGCAAGCTATTAGCTACTTGAGTCTATCTATTGATAACATTAATGTATTTTCTGTTCCTCATCTGAATTGAGTAGTGAATTTAGCAGGCTTGCAATCTCTTCCTGTACAATCTCTGAAGTATCTTGATCATCTTGATTGTCTTGAATGACTTTCTTGACCAACTTCTTATGTGATATGAGTGCTTCATCCAGCATATGCATCTTATCTCCATGTTTAAGCAGCATGATCTTCTTGATTGTAGATGCATGGAGCCACAATCATTAATAATGACATGTATCCTGAGCAACATTACAAACCTATTCTATCCCAACTCCTGTTAAAGATATAGCCAGAATGTCTCTTGCCATCTGAGCAACAGTTGAAAAATCAGGCTCTAGCATTCTCCACTGTTCCAGAATTAGAGCTTGAGATGATGTCAAATTCTTGTCATTTAAATATCACTCTATTTCATTTTGGAAATTTGCTTGTCTTTAATGGAGTCTCTCAAAAATCATTTGCTTAATATTCTAGAGAAGTGAGCAGAGAAGAAATCAGAATAATACTTATAACAAATATACATCATTCACATCAAGTATTACTTCTCTTGGCTGTTCATATTTCTTATAATGCTTTTTGTAAAACCTCAAAATATATTGTTAGTATGTTTCATGCTCATCACTAGTTCAATTCTCTGAATCATATGCTCTCATGTGGTGTAATGGATGGAGAGCAGCAGCTACAGCTAGCAGCTCACTCTTTGAATGCTCAATATCACTATAGTATTTCTGGAATTTCAAGTTAACAGCTTTGATAGCTTCTTGAATGTTCTCTCTTGTTGTTAACTGTTGGGCCTTGTCCTTCTCTCTTTCTAAATGCTAGAAAAGATGATTGTATGTTGCCCATACCAGATGAATTGTTGGGCCTGTTGTTTTGGACAGTATCTTGATAAATCAACTGAATGACTGCAACAGTCCAACCATATACTCTAGCTGCTTTCAGTCATGATTCAATAAGTGAAGCCTTTGGTATTTTGATGATGAGTCCTGAATTCATGAGTTCACAGCTTGTTGAAGCAACAAGGCATGAACACACATCTTATAGATGGAATTCCATCTTGTGTGAACATCTTGGATCATCTTGTGCTGATTCTCTTGTTGATATTCTTGGAAATGTGCAGCAAGTTAGAGAGAGGCATTGATTGCATTAGCAACAAGATAAATCTATTGTCAAGCAAAAATTAGTAAATCAACTCAAGTATATCAAGACTGTTACCAAATTTTGTTATCTTTTTAAGAGTATTTGCAAATGTGTCTGTTGATGCTAGATCATCAGTAATTGAGCTCTCATCAAAAATAGTGGGTAGAGTATTATTGTCTGGCTGAATCTTGAGATTGCAAACCAGCTCTTGAACCACAAGTTGAATTACATAAGCAAGACAGAGTATTGTTTCACTCTCTGCATCTCAATCAGTTGTCTTGTTCAACTGCTGTAATGCTGGCCTCAACTGATGTATAAGATGTGCTTGCATAGTATCATTGTTTGACACATTGTTACTTGTAATTACAAGAAGATTGCTCTCAAGCCTCCATACTGCTAGTAATTATTGGAGAATCTCTACCATATTCTTGCCAGTATGAGCACCCTCTAAACTTTCAAAATCCAGTAAATGCTCACAGTACTTCCAATTCTTTGTAATGTAATAACCATTAATTGCCATAAAGACAAGATTATTGGGACTTGTCCAATTATCCACTGCCAGAGATACCTTGATTGTTGGGTCATGGTTAAAGAGAAGATTTTGAAATAGCTGATTGTACATATCATTCATAATCTAATATAATATTTCTTGTGTGGGTATCTGTAAAGCCATTGCAGGATTGAGCATGATTATTAATGTGTGGAATGCTGGATTCTCAATAGCATGAAATGAGAGATTTAAGAGTATTAATGTTTGCACAAGCTGCTGGAGAAAATTGTCTTGATTGCATTCAGGAACAGGCAGATCTGAATCTGTTTGAGAATGCTTTGAAAACTGTTGCTAACACACCAGAACCATTACTAAAATTTGTTATATTTGGGAAATTAGAATCCATGACTTACTATCATGTTAACCAGAGTGTTACCCTGTCTGTCACTAGTTTTTGTACAATCTTTGCTTGTTAAATGCTTCTTCAGACCACTTGTACTGTTTCAAGAAAAGCTTGAATGACTGAGAAAGATTTGATAATGCTTGCAAATCATCTCTAAAGTACTCTTAGAATGCTCTGCCATCTGATCAAATTTTGACCAAAAATCAGAATGATGTTGCTTTGCCTTCTAGTTGGGGTCACTACACTTTTTATCATTAACTAACTGAGTAGCTTCAGTAGTCAACCACCAAGTAATAAACAACTTATAATGCAGCTCCTTCTACAATACAAATTGTTTTTTTTCATGTTGAACTATGGTCAATTCTGAATAAACCTCTATAGATTTTGCTTGTTTGCTGGCTTCAGCCATTAGATTTTTCTTTTTTTTTTTTTTTTCACAATCAAATTGATTTTTCTCTAAGTTCTGCCTTAGTCAAAAAAGTAATAAAATGTGGTCAGAGCCCACACAAAATTTGACAATCTTTAGATAGTTAGTCTTATTTTACTCTGTAAGTACAGCAATCAACTACAAAATCTTCTTCTTCTACAAAATGGAACATTCTTCTTCAGGAAAATAAAACATTTTGCCAATTTAATAGCACCCCATTCTCAAATTAATATGAAAAAAGAACTAGAAACCTAACTTCCTCCCCTAGATATCAATAATTCAATCATCCTCCATCTCATTATTCTTCTTATCATTCTTATCAGAGGATACCACAATCTTAAAATCATCTTCCTCCACCTTCTCTAGAGCAGGTGAGCTGTTGTTATCTTTACTTGAATCCTGTAATTGACTCAGAAATCTCTTCATCTTCTTCTCAACTCTCTCTCTTGATACACCAACCACAGCAAGACAATTATGACCATGGGCCATGATCTTGATCTCAAGCCTGGCTATTATTTGACAGAATTGGGCCTTTCTATATGCAGCAATAGAATGCTGCACCTGGCTTGTTTTGATCTAAATATGTCAGAACTATTATCAAATTTTATTACTTTTAAATTCTATCTTCTTTTTCTGTCAAGCTTTATTCTCAGCCTCTTTAATCTCTTCTCAGCAACACTTCTTCTCTTTCTTTCTCTTCTTTTGCTGAGAGACCATGAGCTGATGCTTATGGTACTTCTTTGACTTGCTCTTGACAAATCACTTGGCTATTAACTCTTTAGGGACTTTATCTTCAATTATCTTGCAATTCTCTTTGCTGCTATTCTGCCTGCAATGAATGTCAATATGATTTAATGCAAACTACTGAGAATGTATACCACTCATGTTTTGCTCAGATTCTCTTCAGTATATTATGGCATGCCTTGCAATTCACCTCTCCTGTCTTGAATATGTCTTTTTAATGATCTTTCAAGGCCTGGTGGTGCTTCTGTGCCACACAGATCTTCTCTCTTATTGAATATTGTTTTGGCCCCATCTTCACAATTGTATGTAATGAGTTGAATTGCTGGCTACAGAATAATGAGATTATAGAGTATATTGATCAAGTACTGTAGAATGGTTACTATACACATTGTTTACATTCTACAGACATGTTGCTATAGGTAAGATCAATGTGTTGTTACTATACTGGCTACAGGATAATAATATCAGGTCAGTCTCTCTTCTCTTCTCTTTCTCTTTCTCTTCTTCTTCTTTCTCTTCAGAGCTAACATTGACAATTTCCCTCCCCCCCCCACCACCTTTTTATTTACTGCACTTTGATGTCCACACATATAACAAACATATACTGCAACAAAATGGGTCACATTAAAAGATGAGTGCTTGCAGAATACTACTCTGGCATACATTATTTACTGACAAGATGTTAGTTTTCCCTGTACATGTCCATTTCATACAGCTGGAGAGGAGCAGCACAAGGCCACATTGAAAGAATGAGCCCTGAAGAAGAACAATTGGCATAAAGCTAATAAAGATGTTAATCTGGCCAACTTTAATCAGGAGAATCCCCACCCCTGCTCCTCTGTTCAAAATTGGAAGACTGGCACTCATATGTCAAAAAGTAACAATTTTTGGTAACAGTCTTGATGCTAATTAGTGAAAATAGGTGCCATCAAGAAAATCTGCCACTTCCAGAGCTCTACTGAGCTAATCTTGTCAGTGGCCCTGTTCTAGTAATTGATTCAGGAAATTACTTTGTTCTGTCACCAAGAACATGAATATCACTGGCAATATACTGCTATTAAGTCACTTCAGAAGACAGCTGAAGCAATCTTGTGCACTCTATTTGAGTGTAAGTTACTCTTAGCAATAGCATCAACAATTATATTGAGTAATATAGGCTCTGTTATGGCAATGACACACCATAAATGTGTTACAGTCAACACTAACAATATGAAGCTTGTTCTTGACATCAGTGCCAAAATCAGGTTGAACTATTTCAGCCTGATTGATGTGCCTGATTGCCCCACCCCTGCCACCACCATTCACTATCTGTGTGCTGCTCCTGCTCTGCCAACTACTACTGCCACCACTCTATTACCACTGCCACTGCCCACCATCATCTCCCTGCCCCCTCTCTGGTGCTGTCAGGGTCTCCACCCATCAAATGGCAGGTATTAGAGCCCCTGTCTGGTTCACAAAGCCAGTTCTGGAGGAGCAGGAGAAGAAGAAGGAGAAGAAGAAGGAGAAAGAGTGAAAGAAGAAGAAGAAGAGAGAGAAGAAGAACAATAATGATGATAAAGATGATGATAATGATAATTAACTTATTATTTAGACAGTTTCTGTTTGTTTGCTGGCTTCAGTTATTAGTTAGTTTTAATACTTTGTTTCTTTTGATAATCAAATTGATTTTTCTATAGATTCTGCCTTCATCAAAAAAGTAAAAAAATTTGGTAACAGTCCATACAAAATTTGATCAGTTTGACTCTTTTCTATAAATTTGACATGATAGGACCAGGAATCCTGGTCCCATTCCAGTCCCACTATGAACCTGGCTGGAATGAGAAATGGGAGTCTACCATCTCTGCTGGAATGGAATGTGGGACATAATTTTCTATTTGAGGATGGGACCAGGAAATAATTTCTGGAATAGGGATGGGAATAGGATCTCAAGCTCTTGAGTGGGATGGGACATGTGACTGAGATTTCATATTTGGGATCCCAGCTGTTTCTAAATTTGGGACTGGGACCAGGTTCAATGGGAAATGGGATCCTGTCCTGGTCCCAAATACCAGCCTATACAGGAGAAAATCATCTCATAATGAGATTTGAAAATAGCTTCACCAGCATGACATTCAGATCTGGCTTGATGGCATCTGTATCTGAAAGAGCTGTTGGTCTGGAAACCTGGCTCATTAACACATGCTGCAGCCACTTGATTTGTTGCAATAAAGCCTACTTTACTAGCTTTGATTCTACTACAGACCATTGGTACAGAGCTTCAAATAGAGAAATCATTTCCATAAAGAGTAGTGGCATAGTACACATTAGATGCATCATTCAGAATGGCATTGTCAATAAGATCTATATACATGCATGATATAACCCAAAGTTAGGCATGAATTTGCTTTCCATGAACCAGTTGACCAAAAAGTTGAATCTCTACTTTATGGAAGTAGACCACACACTGCAAACACAAAGAAACCACAAACTAGTAAGATATGCTAAGAAAAGTGATGGTGTTACAATCCTCAAGACAGAGTCACTTCATCAGCAAGAGAAAGTCATTCAACAAACATACACTACTATAAAGCTCACACTACAGCTTCTCCATAGATGGCTGGGACACTGTGTATTCCCTACCACACAAAAAGCAGCAAAAGACCAGGAAATCAAAATAGAAGGCCAAGATACTTTCCATTGCAAAGCATGTGCACTAGAAAGATCAAAATGGCAGATATCCTGAACACCACAGATTCAGTCTACAGTTCCTGGGCAGAAGATTCATATTGATCTTCAAACCATAAAGCTAACAAGTCTTCAAGTCTTCAAATATGCTCTAATAATTGTGAATGACTGTATGTGTTTTAAATGAGTTATACTACTCAAGAATAAAGCTGAAGCTTCATGTAGCCTCCAGAAGCATGTCAAGAGGCTCAGGAATCTACTAGACTTCTATGTGAATACCATACAAATGGATGGAGGCACCAAATTTTCACTATTTAAGAAGGAATTCGCCCCGGCCTGTGGAATCAAATGTGAAGTGACCACTCCATACACACCTCAGCAAAATGGTGTAGCAGAATGAATCAGCAGCTATTTAGTAGAAATAAGTTGTGTCATGATTTTAGAAGTGAAGCTTCCACAAGAAGTCTGGGATCTGGCCTTGCAAACCACTTGCTACATTATAAATAGAATTCCTCTGGCTGGAGGTGGAGAATCACCATACAAGCTCTTTTGGAAAAAGAAGCCAAACCTACAGCATCTACAAGCTTACAGATGTATAGCCTACACACATATTTTGCTAGAGGATAGAGCAAACTACAATAAGGCATATAAAATGAAATCCAGGGCTCAACTCAGTTACCTAGTCAGATATGAAGGTGAGAATGGACATATTTATAAGATCTGAATCTCAGAGACTGGCAAAATTATACATACACACAATGCCAAGTTCAATGAGGATGTCAATGCCATTCCAGATCTCCCAAAAAAGGAAGATTCTAAGCTGAAGAATAGATTTACAGAACTCTTTGTGATTCCAAGCTTTCAAAAGCAGAAAGCTATGGGGGCAGTGAAGCAAGCTGCTACTAGGCTTCTACCAGCTTCAACACAAGAGCCTACAGAGGCATGTGCTCAAGGAGCTAACCTGATTAAGAACTTTGAGATCCCAATACCTTTCTGGATGCAGGAGCAAATGCATGGCCCACAGCTTCAAACAATAATATCATCAGCTCAGAAGACTTCTTCAGCACCTGAACACATGGTGAGATTCCAAGAACCTGTCCATGAGACTATCAAAGAAACACCAGAGCCTCCATATAATGGAGATAGCAACAATGACTTTATCAAGGGCCAAATCCACAATAAGATGTTCAGAGATGTGTTGGAAGAACCAGGACAGAGCACCAAATCCACACCTACATATGAACCAGAACCTACAGCTTCAATAGAGCCAAACCCTCAGCCCGCAAGACACATATCAAGCTGTACAACTAAAGGCAAATCATGAAGGCTATATGGAGATTACACTTCCTATCTTACAGCCAACCTGCTAGCTTACAAAGTTAAGGTTTCACACAACTACAAAGAAGCTATAACTAGTGAATACACCAGTGAATGGAAGAGTGCTATGGAAAAACAAATTAAGAAGCTAGAAGCTGCCAATACTTGGGAGCTAGTTGAGATGAATTCAATAGATTCTACAGCTAAAATCCTACCTGGCAAATGGGTTTTTGACTTGAAAGTGAATGCTGATGGCTACATTATCTCCTTCCATGCTAGATAAGTCATATGCGGTAATTTCCAACACTCTGGCCTCAATTTTGACAAGACTGCTGCATCTGTAGTCACTGAATCAGCTATCAAGCTCACACTTATAAAAATAGTGGTTAAGGATATGCACTGTGAACAAGTTGATATAGTTACAGTCTACTTGCATGCCATACTTAAGCACCATAAGATCTACATGAGTCTTCCAACTGAAACAGAAAGAAAAGACTTTATCTGCAGACTCCAGCAAGCTCTGTACAGACTGAAGCAAGCAGAACATCTTTAGCAGGAGACCTTCACAAAAGCTCTCATAGAGATTGGTTTAAAGCCACTAAAGAATACAGATTCATGTATATTTATAGACAAAGAGTCTGGCCTGCTACTAATAATCTACATTGATGATGCCCTTATTGCTGCTTCTACAAAAGAAACCATTACTGATTTCAAAAACAAGCTGTCCAATTACTTCCCTATAAAATCTCTAGGTGAACTTTTGGGATTTCTAGGTTGCAAAATTGAACAAGATCATACAAAGCAAATAATCTATCTCTCTCAAGAATCATATGTTCAAAAGGTTCTTGCCAAATTCTACATGAGTGGCTTAATAATCCAGACCACCCCAATGGCAGAAGGAGTACAGCTTACACAGGAGCCTGAGCCTAGTTCAGTAGTTGCTGAAAGCATTGTGAACTGGCTGCAACAGCTTCTTGGAGCTCTCAATTGGTTCTTGATAAAGAGCTACCCTGATATTACATTGGCTGTCAACAAACTCCAACAATTCACTACAAAGCCAACACTAGAGTACCTAGGATATAGCAAACAAATACTGTGTTATTTGAAAGAATCTCCCATGCTAGACCTAACCCTTGGAGGCACCCTGAAGCCTGGAATCCCAGAATTACAAGTCTATATGGATGCTAGTCACCAAGACTGCAAGGAAGGACACTCAACAGAAGCATATGTAGTATTTTATATGGGAACTCCCATTGTATGAAGCTCAAAATGCCAAAAGATTGTTGCACTGTCAAGTACAGTAGCAGAATTTTGTGCTCTTGATTCTGCTGTGAAGGAAGCACTCTGGATTCAGAAGCTCTTACAAGATCTCAACCTTCCAGCAAAAGCTCTGATTCCTATATATACAGATAGTGTGAATGCTATAGCACTAGCTCACAAGCCAACATACACACTGGCCACCAGGTGAATGGATACACATTGGTTCTTCATGAAGGAGCTTCTCAAAGAGGAAAGAGTGAAGCTCTACCATATACCAGGAACAGAGAATCCAGCAGACAGCTTGATGAAGTCACTTGAAAAACAAAAATTTAAAGAATTCTTACAGATGTTGAATCTCAACAACATGGATTCTACATTCACACTTGCTTGATTAGGATAACACAAACACCAGCAGAAGTGGCATAACCTACAACAACATTACACCAGCAACAGATTTGGAGCTCAACCTCCAATTTAGACTTCTGCTTACCATTTACTAAGAAATATTCCACTCATTTGGTTATTGAATCAGCTTGGATCCTGAATTTGTTGGATTTATATATTTAGAAATTTGTCTTCTCCCAGTACTTGCTGGAGTCTAGGGGGCAGTGTTGAGACACTAGTCTCTATGTAGTTAGTCTCCAGCTTAGTGGCTCAGATCTTCTTTGATCCAATGCAGAGTTTTTCATCTTGCTTCTCATCCCACAATCCTTTGGGATGAGAGGAGGGGGAGCACACACATCTATTGAGTTCACATTCTGTGGTTCCTATAGCTTCTGCATATGGTTAGTAGCCTTGTAGGTCCTTCCGAGACTCCATCAATCTAATTCTTAGTCTTTCAACAGTGCTGACACAGCCCCACATGATGAGAATTCATGTGTTTAACAAAGACAGGGCTCCAACACCAAGGGCAAATTTGAATAGACTGAATTGAGCTGTACTATTATCAGCATGATTTAATTGAGGAATTGCCCTGATTGCATTCTTTATTACCAGGCACAGTTCAGATATCATGTTGATAACATGATTGGATATGAGAGTGGTGCAATACTGCCCACTTTGTGCTCTGCTTATTGTGTATCAGATGTAGCCAAATAGGTAGTGGTCCACAGCAAATTTCAGAAAGTTACTTTACATGATATCTGGATTCCTATTTCTTGACACTTTGTGGTGCTCCAGATTCAACTTTAGGGACTTGACTAGTTTATCCTGCTCTTCTACCATAATAAGCAAACTGGCATTATGTTGCTTGAGCATATCCATCAGTTCATTTAGTCTTTCCAAGCTGGCTTTAGTATAATGGTGTATTGAAAGAGCAATCTATCTAAAGTCTCTTGTATGCTGGAATGATCTTAATATCTTTCTTGCATCTAGAGTTCCAGTAGCTTCTGGTTAAAAGCTTTGACAGTGGATAAGATCTTCTATTGTTAGTCTGGTTAACCATCTATAATATTTTTCTTATTCTTGTCCTACTTACCTGTAAGAGCTGATTAGAATTTTCTGTCATGAGGCCCTTAATTTGCAAATTCAATAATAAAGCAGGTAGATGTGTCCTTTTATTTTGAAAGATTTGGGCTTGAAGTTTGCCAGAAATGTCATGAAGATACTAAAGAGCAATTTTTAGAGAGAATGCAGAAAGTGGTGTAATAAGTGTAATATAACTGACTAAATCCACAGTATATCCAGAAGATAAAAATAACTCTAAAATCACATGATAGAAGAGAGATGCAGCAGGAATATTATATGTGCAGGAGAGTGTTGTTCAAGATTACTATCAACTGAATAAAATAGATAGAAAATAGCTATAATAAATGAAAAACTCTTGCTATCTGTCTCTCTGAATCTTACTTTTTCTTGTATTTAACTGACACATCATGAATAGCATTCCTGATATGCTGGAGGAAAGGCTGCCGTTGCTTGATATAATTTGTCAAGTAGTTAATTTTTCTGAAAGGGTCAGTACCAAGCTGCTGATAACAAGAAGAAGAGAAGTATTCACTCATTCTTATTCTGAAGACTGAGTTCCAGTTTAACTACTTAGCTATTCATGATTAATATCCACTTGGCTTTCAGAGTCTGAATCTGTTCAGAAAGATCTTCAACTTTCTTGGCCACTTTTTCTAATAGTGCTTCAGAAAGATTCAAAATGGGGCCTGGAATCTCTATAAGTTTGTAGTGCTATCTGAGAATGGCTCTTGACTAAAATTGAAATCTGAATTAAGAAGAGCTGGATCCAGACAGGAAAATGGTAAGTCTTTCTTGAGAAGTTAGTTCAGTTTCTTTGCAAGTGCTTTGAGCTGCTTCTTGTCAGGTTGCCGGAGGTAGTCCATTACAGATGATATGGAGAGCATTTAGCTGTAATCAATGCAATAAAGAGGGACTTTTGCAAAGAAGAAGATGGTGTAATGCTATATTCAGAAGATTTGTGTACAAGTATATGATTAATTTATATGCTGTTTGATTATTTGGCTTTTAGCTCAAATATGCATTTCTCTTGTTTAATTGATTTCTTAAGATATTTATGATGATAAACTATAGACATTCTTTGAAAGTATCTTAGGGAAGAAGGCAAGGCAAAACAATCACTTGATATTAACAGCAAAAATGTCAAAGACATGATGGTGAAAGGCATATCAAAGCAGTCTAATAATTCTGACTGTGGCCTTTATCTTATGGCATATCTTGAGAAGTTCATTCAGAATTCACATAATTTTATTGCCAAACTCTGCAAGAGTAAAATGAATGAGAATGTAGACTGGTCAAGATTGAAATCTGACCTGTGGTATCAGTATCTTAGAAGCTACTTACTCACACTGATACTCATACTGTAAGACAATTAATGATTGATAAGAAGCTGCTGGGTATTCTCCTAGTAGATGAACTAGCTATTGAGAACTAGAAGTTACAGCATCTAGATAGTGACATGATGGAACTCAAGACTTGATCATTCAGAATTGTCTGTTGTTTGTGATACTGAGCTTTCTCTGATATGTGCAGATCAGCCTGGGCTACCTCAAGAGGCAGTTGCAGAATTTAATGCACAGAATGACAAGAATGAGAAGAAATGAAGGAAAAGCACCTCATTATCATGTTTATTCTGGCTTATCATGGTGTTTCTGATTGAAAAGCTGAGGGAGAATTTTGTTGGAACACTTCTCACAACCTACAATCTGTGCTTCAACATGGCTAGTATGTATTCTGCTATCTTGGCTTCCCATGCCACCTCTCATTTGATAGGGAGAAGATACAATCAAGATCAGCATTAATTAAAAGATTTTAGCAAACAGTCTCTGTACTCCAATGTGTGTGGGGAAAGGTGGAATATTTGTAGCACCACTTTAAAAATAAAGATTAACAGAAATATCAAAATATCTTCATCAAATCCTTCATATAAGTCTTGAAGCCTCTTACTATAAAATTTGAACTATCTAGTATTCTTTTTTATATACTAAACTTTCTGCAAGATATGTAGTTTCTAACATGATTTATTTGATTACTAGTATTGACTTAAAAAAAAATGGAGCAATCTGATCAGATTAAAGTTGCCTCTGTTACATCTTCAGGAGAAATAATTCCCATATCATCACTGGACCTTCAGGTCCAGCAGTGCAGCAGAACAACATTCAATCTTGAACAACTTTCAAGAGCTCTTAAATATTCAAAAAGCCTACCTCCATCAAGCAGGGACCAGATTCTCCATGAACAAGAACAACTCTATGTGAAAGCAAATTTTTGTGAAGCAATTCAACACATTTACTATAGACTCTTGGATGGATGCAAAAAGACAACTTATATTCTACAGAAATGCAAATACCAGAGACAACCTAAGCAGGCTATTTTTGCAAGAAAAATTCTTGAAAATCTTCTGTCTGATTCCACTCAACAAATTGAAATGCTAGAGCATAATACACTTGCTTTCCTCAGAACATCAGCCACAAATAATACAGTGGATGGTAGCCAAATTTAGAGATTTGAAAAAGCTCTTCTTCACTTCAGTAGTCTATTCTCTGCAGTAACTCCAAAGATGTCTGGTTATTTCTGCTTTAATGAACTTTCCAGACTGTCCATAATCTCTATAGTTTCTTTTTACAATAAAGTACAAATAGCTATCAATAGAATTACATCATGCTCATATTTACTTTGAGAAATCAGCCAAAGGTAGAAATGCACAAATAAAGAAGTAGGAATACAGAAATACCTTTTTATAATCTTAATCTCAATTTGGAAGCTTATTTAATTTGGAGTTTATTTAATTATTTATAGATTTCTGTGGAAAATGCCAGTATTTAATTTCCATTCATATAAACGTATTGCACCATGTTCCTCTCAAATTGACTGGATGCTCTGGATTAACTACTACCTCAATGTCTGTGATAATCCATGCAGCATAGCAACCAAAAAAACAAACTTGCTGTTTAATGTAATCCTCAAGATTATTACATAAAACTACCAGTATTGTCTTTGAATAATACAGTAGCAAGTCACCACCTACCAGAGTTGAGGCACCAGGTTGAACTAGCAGTACTGTGATAGCTGGAGATCCAGATGGCACCACAACCACCATTCATTTCCTTACTACCTGTCTATAGTGGGCATTAATGAACTAGATACCACAGAAAACAAGAGTGTAGATAAATTCATGCTGAGATTCAAAGAGAAGATGAAGCTTGAAGGTACCTGAAATATTGAGAGAGTGAATAAGGACTGGAAATAAGATGATAATTGGAACTCACAATCATTCTCTCAGCAGTTTACTAACTTAAAGTGAAAGGAACAATCAAATCTTGAGAAAGGCAAACTCACAAAATCCAGAGCCAAGATATCATTTTCAAATCAGCTTATGTTCAAACATCTGACCCCAATGCTCTGCAGTATGACCATGAGCACTGCCAGATGGCAGGTTTCCTGGATTTTCCCATCACTTGGAGGATAATATACAACTGAAGTTTGCTCTCAAAACCCTGAAATATGTTTTGGCCAACCTTTCTAATTGTCTCTTTTGCTTGAGTCAACTCCAGTTTACCTCTGATTATTCTCTCATTCACTTTCTGCAATATTCTTCCAAAGGTTAAATTTCTTTTAAGCAATTATTGTCAGACATAAAGATGTGATTTAGTCTGATTCAATGCCATCACTATCTTATTTTTCTCTATTCAAGGTTGTTTGTAAGACAGATTCCAAATTTTTGAAGCTGCTGTTACATGCCAGAATAGCATAAAAAGTCTTCCAAATTCTCTGGCATAATCATTCAAATGCCTGTTTGAAGTGGCTGCTGAGATATCTGGTGAAAAGCATATCAAGATGGGAGGTTGCTATCTTTGATTTATTCAGAATTTTTCAATAGAGATTGCAGGTTTGAGTTGATGGAATCTGAATTCTGAGCATACCATCTTTAGCTTCAGCTTAGTATGGGATGTTTGATTTTGAGACCTACTGATATGTTTAGAGACCATCTTACAACATTATAATTGGTGGAATGATAGAGGGAAAAGAACAATAAGGGCACTCTATATCTAGGTTAGCAAAGTCAGTACTAAAGGGGTACAGGAAAAGTCAAAGAGCAGGCAGCTAAAGCTTCAGTGCTTGATTTTCAATTTGACATTTCATCAGATCTGAAGATTTATCAGCCTGATACAAAGAAATTTGCCTACTAGTATTTATATCCACACTTTTGCCAGTTTTCAGATGCTAGCCATATTAGCAATATTGAACTCTTATAATAATAAACATGCAGACAGTTACACTTTTTCTGGCTTCTGCTTTTTCTCTTGCAAGCCAACCAGATGGAAGCATGTCACTGAGCTTCTCCCAAGCAACATTAGAGCACCCCTCTGACTCTATAGCAGGTATAAAGACACTATATACACATCCATTCTCACTATATATGCCTTTGGATGCAACCTACATCACTGTAGTAGAGAGCAACAGGGCATTAATATTTCTGCCAACAGCTACAGGCATAATTCAACCAACCATTCCTGCTTTACTCCAGCTATCTTCTGGTCTCTCAACAATATCATCAGGAGTGTTCTATACAGAAATATCCAGGCCATCTCAAAGAACTTTACAAAGCTCTGACAGCAGTTATGCAACCCATATTCCTATTTCTCCAACAGCAACACTCTTTGTCCCCATTGAAAATGGTGCTGGATGCCTGTCATTAGTTGCTTTCCCTGCTGTGTATGCTTGCTTATTGGTTGCTTTTTGAATTATGACATGTTAAACTTAGCTTAGTATGAGGCAATTTTGATCTTTTTCCAACTCTTCTCTCAGTCTTAGGGTAGCTGTTTTACCAATAAAACATGATGTCACTAGTGTGTGTTAAGGTAGATAAGTGATTTTAACCACAGCACAGCAGGCAGCAGTTCTGTTAACCTTAATAACCTTATTTAAACAACCAGCTTTCCACTAGGCACTTACATACATTTCAGGTTGTCCATACATTTCCAATTGCACATGAAGAAGCAATAGCTGACCAATACAAACATCATCCAGATAAAAATCACATGTCCACCCACCAGTAGAAAAATATGTTAAGCCTTATTACCTGTCTTCTTACTGTCATCCTGAGTAGAAAATGAACACCACCAGTAGATTTCAATTTCAGCTTCCAGCATTATGATTGTTGTATTCACTACATTTTATAATTCAACAGTATCAGATAACTTGCTTACAAGCTCTTCTCTAAGCACAAGCAACTTAATGTACATCTTTCAGAGCTATCCATACTTCTCTACAAGATGCCTATACTACTCTGCCAGCTGCCTGTATTGCTCTACCAGCTGCTTGTACTTAGTCTCTATCTAATTATAACATTCCAGAAATTTATTTTAGGTAAGTTATGCTTTTTGATTTGCTTCACCCACTTTGGCTAGCATTCTCTGCAGGTCAGCAATATAGTGAGCATCTCAAGACTCTTGCATAAACATTCTCCAGAGAAAGTGAATATCAAGTATAATCTGCTACATGCCAGCCTATAATTCAGTTAAAAAGTCTTATTTATTTGACATTCCAGTGGTTCCTACCTGCTGGTGTGGAGAAATGGTTTGGTTGGTATTTATATCTTAAAGAATGCTTATTCCAGCAGCTGAACTGGAATAAATTTAGGACTGCTAATTATATACAGCACTAAGCACCAAATAAACATACTCCAACATTTCTATCAAGTACTTGTCCCTCTCTCCACATTCATCTATCCAGTTCTCTTGTCAACATTTATCTGTTTGTATTTCCATTTAATTGGTGTGATGATTAAGATTAGAGCTGGGCATCAAGATATCCAGGCCACTGACAGTAGATTGTTTCTATTTGAGAGTCTGCAAGAGAAGCTTGTATGAAGAACTTTATTTAGTACTTATATTAAGTGGCTTGGAGCTCAATGCTCAGTCTTACAGCCTGATGTATCATCTCTACACCACCTGATGTGCTTCTACTGTAATTTGATAGCTTTTTCTGTCCATTGTTAATCAGCATCAACAGCTTCATTGAACAAGTTCACTATTGCTAGCCAGCTGTGTCTCTGGTTTCTCAACTTAATAATATAGTTTTTCTCCCAGGTGTAATATGATTTGCTATGACCCTATATTCAAACAATATAGATTTCATACCTCTTGACTGTGACAACTTTGCTGAGGTAGATAAGGACCACATGATAGATACTCAGGACAGCCATCCTCTGAAACAACAAGATCTTCATGACAACAACTTGCATCACATTGTGGAGGAGATTAAATTTGTTGATTCTTTTCTTAAAGAAGTTCATGCTGAGATTCATGGATGAGGTTAGATTCAGGTTGAAGGGAACTGAAAGGGGTCTGTTTGGCTATGCAAGTGATTATCTCTTGCATCCACTAGTCAACATCCAATTCCATCCTTAGCATTCATACAAGTCTAAAATCTATACAAATCTAGATGTAGAAATGCCTAGACCAAGAGACAGTGGATTTCATTCTTCCTAGAACATATAGAGGTAGGCACACAGGAATCTGTCAGTGCTGCCTCTGGAGGACATTCATTGAAGCTATCTCTTTTAACACAAGAAAACCAAGAACCACCATATCCATAAAAGTAGATGTATCTGAGAAAGGACAGGTTCAGTTTTAGATCTCTAGTTTGTACTAAAACCCATTGCTCCAGCTCCCTCTGCCTTTTCTCTTCTTTCTGCCTGGTGCTGCTTCACCTATCTTGCATAAATATTTAGTCTCAGTATGAGTCCCATCTCCCCAAAACTGCTGTGCAGAACTGATGATCAATGCTATATAGGAGAACACATCATGAAACCAAGTTACAGCAAGATGGACATCACATCACTCTTACAGCTAGATGATAGGACTTAAAACCACACTGGTATTTTGGTATCAAGCTGCAAACCATTGGTGAAGTTGGCAGATGCCTCTCCACTAGTAGGCAATCAGCCATCTGTCATGCCCGTGCCTGGGATGATGGCTCTTGGAAACCACACCCGCAAATACTGGTCCACAGACAAAGATCAGGAGCTACTCCAACTTCAAGGGAGCAGCAAGAAATGGGATAATCTTAGCATACCAGGCTGAAGTTCCACCAGCTGCTACCAGCACTATTGTTATCTTATACAGGCTGGAAATACTACTCTAAAATGTGATGCCCTGGGATGTCCATGGGCTGGGTATCTTCCCAGTGACAAAAGATAAGCACACACTCAGGCTTATTGGGCAATCAAGACTCATGAAATAGTAGAAAACATATGAAGAAACATGACAAGAAATACAGTTATGACATATGCAACTGCAATAGACACTTTCCAACTCAAAGCAAACTTAAAAGGCATCAGAAATCTGTTCATGGGGTGTTGGACAGCAGTCTAGTTTATAGATGTGCGGCACAATATTGCAATTCAGGAAAGATATGGCTGTGAAAGGACAATTTCAAGGAGCATATTCAGAGGCAGCACCAAGATTGTGACTCAGAGTCACTTTTGCAGAAGTCAGATTTCTACTTTATCAAGCCTCAACATCTAGATAGTTCTGATATCAGTCTAGATCACAAACAATGAAGACAATAGGAACAATGAAGAGCTGATAGAAAAAGATGGAAGTCAGAGTCATGTCTACCAATAAAAGGTCATGTATGATATGCATATTGGACTACATCCACCAAGGCAAGAAAACAATAAACACAGATACAACCTGAGTAAGGCCACTCACACACAGCATCAGATCCAGCAGGAGGGCTATCCAGCCCAACATCTCTTCAGGGGAGGAGGGGAAGTGGCTTCAGGGCCAATCCTATGGTGATCTACAGCTTTGGTGGTGTGTGATTGGCATGGGCTTCATCCACACTGAAGAAAGTCAAAGTATAATACTCTACATCCCCAACACTGCTCATCATTATTCAGAGATAACCATGCACTGTGAGCTCGCACAGCACCCAATCAGGTGGCAGTGGGGACACACATTCAGTTCCAGCATCTCCAGTACTCCCCACCACTGGCACCAATGGCCCGCGCCATCAGTGCTGACAGTGCTGGGACCAGTGACAACAAAGCCACCAACCTCCTGGGGGGGTGTGGGAGTCAATCACCCATCTGGCTGCCCAGATCATTATCCACAAAGGTCAAGGTCAGAATAACATATCCAGGCTTGATTTAGGGTCTGTGACTCTTCTATCATATCTAGTGTGGAAGTGGCTGTAATTTCAGGCCCAGACACTCCAAACATATCCAGCAACATATCTGCATTCATGGTGTCCTCCTCATCAGAGTCACCAGTCAAATCCACCACATTTATGTTGTTGATATCAAAAGGCTTCATTGTTCTGGCACTGGGAGAAATCATAGCAAAATTGCTGGTGGATGGCTGGAAAGGTTGTAGAGACCACTGGTTGCAATCACTGGTAAGTTGGAAGACAGACAATAAGATGGTGGATATTTCAAAGAGAAGGCCAGCTTGAGAGGCACAGAAACATCACTTTCTTAAATATTCTTGATCTCTCTCATCTTTCTGCTTTCTCCTCTCTCTTCTTCTTCTCTCTCCCAACTGTACCACTGTAGGAGATTCACCAATTGTATAGCATGGCTGCTAGCTCAGAACTCTCACCCCACTTTCCTGAGCCCTTTTCATTCTATCTTGATTCTCATCTTCTGTGATCTGTCCCCTTAAAGTCATTGAAAGCCATGGAAAGTCAAAAAGTCAAAAAGTTAGTCAGTCCAGTCCATGCATATCAGAGCACATGAGAGAATTTTCCCCTGAACAGACATGCACAATGCAGTCAAAAACACTGTTCCAGCTGATCACCCTTCCAGCACCAGCTATAATTGAAACCACCAGAGATCACCACTGTAGTGGGGATTCCGGTACCATATTAGGACAAAGGTTGTTCCAGTCCGAGGCGCAAAACCCCCTCAGCTACTATCTCTGAGCTATATAAACCACCCATAGCCCCTGTATCTCGCTCAATACCTTCGCGCACCTTTGTACTTTTCTACACACTCATTCTTTATTGCTAGTTTGGTTATTAGTTAGAGAATATGAAGATCTCTTGTTCATGAAGCTTGCCACTGTTCCTCATTAGAGCTGCCTGTGTTAGTACAGGCTCTTTAGTACTATTATTCCTTATGAGCTTAGGCGTCCGTTAAGGCATGCTTCTCTGTTCTTACTACTCGGCCATTACCATCCTTACTATGTTGTGATTTTTCATCCTTCTTGCGCTCTCACCATCTCAACCAACTCGCCTACTTTGACAAGGCATCCCATCGTACCCCGCTTCACCACACAACACCTCCAACTAAGACATGTATGCCTGTCTTCCCTGCAAGACAATACAGCAGCTGAAGAGGCAGCTGAATCAAATGATTTCACACACAGGTTCTGAGAAAAGCAAGAAGAAGAAGGGCTGGCTGGCTCTGTCTATTATGAAAAAGTTCACACAACTGCTTGTTCTGCAAGCCTCTGCCAGATCAGTCAGCAGATAACAAAAGTAAAGAATACCACTCCCACACAAGTACAGAAAGAATCAGACAATCCAGAGAACAGAAGAGAACAAGCTGGCTAGACAGTGGATCAGAGAGCCAGAAAGCTGGGAAGCCAGGAAGTATACAATCAAGATAAGCAGAGCACCAGACAAGAAGAGTGGCATGCAACTGGAGTAAAGATTATGCAAGCACAGAGAGAGGAAGAGCAAGAGAAAAAGAGAGTGAGAGAGAGAGAGAAAACAAAAGAAGACAGTTCTTTCAGACAGCAGAAGATCAGTCAGACTTTATATCTACAGGCATGCACCACATCAAGAGCAATCAGGCCTGGTCAGAAATGTGCAGGTTCTCACACAGGTGACTACTGAGATCTGAAAAGATATTACTCTGTGTTTGCAAACAGAGAAAGCCATTTTACTATTTCCCCATCACAAAATAGCCAAGTGTTGAATTATCATATTTACAATCAGATTCTGTAGGCCATGATCATGTTCTGAAGTTGATTTGTAAATTTCAAAAGAGTGGTGGTAAAAGTATCACCATCTACCTCCAGAGTCCACCTACAGATCATTCTTGGGGACAGGATATCTTGACCATCTCTTGATTTTCATTTGCATCCTGCCAGATTCCTCTTTCTGGATAATCATGGCATTGAATGTGTGATGATAAGAAAAAGTTTTTCTCTTCACTCTGGCAAAAGCAGGCTGTCTGCTATCTGGAACTTTATTTTATGCAGTAAGTTTTTTAACTCAGCACATAAGAGAGAGATTGACCCTAATACATGGGGTTCTGAAGGCCAGGTTTTCCAAAAGTCAATATTCTGGCAAGTTCAATCTATAGGGCTCTCATTCCATATTTCATATCCTGGTGGTATGCACCACATTGGTCTTGATGGATATCTGGATGTCTTTGACTATATATAGAAAAATCTTACATGCTCATCTATTTGAAAACTGTTCTCCAAGTATAGGTTTCTTCAAGTATTGTCAAGATCAGGTATTGTCAACAGATTTACACAATGTGATCAAGACTAGCACAAGACAGCATAGCTACTACCTGCAGATTATCTCTGCTGCCTATAACTGAATATAAGTATAAGGAGCTGATTTTCATCACTTTTTTAGATAGAAAATCAAGAGTCTTAAACTTATCAAATCAACAGGTCTTTATAGTGTGACAGTTAATAAGTCTGATTTGCCATTAAATGCAGTTTTATTCCATTGCACTGCATACCATTGTGATCAGAAGATTAATCAGACAGATATCTGTATTTTTGATATTATACACCAACTTCCACTGCTGTTATCACTAATAATGAATTCAATGGATTTGGAAGCCTCTTTCTGACCAGCCTCTAAGAAGCTGCATTCAATGTTAAATTTACTAATAGCTAGAACAAACAGATTATCTGATGGTACTACAGTATTATGTGCAAAATCTCCAATTCAAAAGTCTTATGTATTGACCAGCTCAAACTATCTTCTAGCTTTCCCTCTCTATCAGATGGCCTGCAAACAGAAAAACAGAAGATACTATATCAGTGAGAAAACTAGTGAAAATAACCAACTCATTGCTCTTTCTTGACTGAGAAGAAGTTCATAAAGCTCCATTCCAGTCTTGAGTGAGATGCTGTTTCAACAGTAACTGAACTATGTCTTGAAGAAGAAGTCTTGCTATTGGCAACTTGCTGCTGATTATTTCTGGCTGACTAATATTAGTCTGAACTTGAGCTTGCTAGATCTTTCTTGACTAACTCAACTGAGCTCTCTTCCCCCAGTAAAAAAATGTTCTCTACTAACTGAAACTGTTCATGTGGCTTTGAATCTTTCTTCTAACTGGACTTTGATCTAATTATTATGACTTGCTGTAAGCTTGACTGTCTTCTGTTGAGAAATTTGCTGGTCTTTCTGCTAGAATGTTGTGTAACTGCCAATTTCTGAGGATGAAATGGGTCAAATTTAAGATGTTGTTGTGATGATATAGTATTGACATGATTTTGTGGGCAGAAAGAGTTGAAAGAGCTTTCTAGATTTTCATTAGCAGTCTCATTAATCTTGAGTGCCTTGAGAAATCTTTGCTTCTGTCTCAGGTATTGCTTCTGAATCAGTTGATTGATGGTTACTGGACTCTGATAAAATAGTATGTATAGTTTTGCTAATGACTCATAACTGACTTGACTGTTAAGATACTTTATTTTTATACAGTATCTTTCTTCATTAATGTCTTTAGTCACAAGTTGAATTCTGTTAAGTGATGCCTGATTTGTGAGCCAGGTTTTTCTTTCTGATGTCAGTCTGTCATGATATCTCATTTAGGGGAGATGATATCTGTTGAAAGAATGCTGTTAGCTTGACTTTAATAGTGCTATTTTTATTCTCTGGTGTTCATAAATGATGAATACCTGACACTCAGCTGTAGAAGATTGAACCCATGCAATAATATTGTAATGAAGCTGTAGATATCTACTATTAACTCTGAGATTAATAGTGTAGATATTCTGAGAAGCTTCATGAGCTTTCTTGAAACTATTTGTTGAGAAGAAGTATCTTGAATTATCAGACATTATGAGATCAGTAGTCTTCTGAAAATAATTAATGCAGTAATTCTATTGTTCTGGAGCTCCAAGCTGTTCAAGAATAATATTATGAGCTAGTATATTCTTCTGGAGGCTGTGTCATGCTGCAATGCTCTTGATATCATATTTTATTCTGTTGGAGTGATCTCTGATTTTAAGAATTAGATCAGCAACTGTATTAGTTATATCTGGATGCTCATCTGACTTCCAGATGAAAAGTGCCTGCATTACTTGTGAACTCTCCCAAGACCTCAATTTATAGATTTTTTTGATGATCTTTATGGGGTCCATGATCTCTTTTTCTGTGAAGGTTATTCCACTTGAGAGCTGCTCAAGATTAGAATATTCAATAACTTCTTTTTTGAGAGAATGTTTCCTCTTATTCTATTGGAGTGTACTGGAGCTTTCCCCTGCATGTATCTGGTTATCTTGCTAGGGTGTAGTAGGTGATGCCTGATCTAAATCAGAATAGTCAAAAACTCTTTCTTTAAGAGAATGTTCTCTCTTATTCTTCTGAAGTGTGCTGGAGGTTTCTTCTGTGTGCACTTGGTCATCTTGCTAGAGTATACTAGATGATGTGTAAACTGTATTGGAAGATTCAGTATTTCCTTCTCTGATAGAATGTTTCTTGATAGATGATGCTGGAACACCAGAGAATGCTTTCTGTGGTTTGGCAGCTAGAGTAGCAGTTTGGGTTGAAATCTCCCCAATTGGCTTCTTTTCTGAGATTACTGCTGTCTTGATTAGATGGTGCTGCTGAAAATCAGTCCCACCTCTGTTGGTAATATATGAGGATGTGAATTTCTTCTTCTGAGATGAGTGCCTTGGCCCTTCATGTGGCACTTCACCTGGCAATAAGAGTATCTTTATTTTTTTCATGTTTATGTTGGTTATTTCCATGAGGAATAGGAGAGGTTTTATATTGCTCTAACTATAATGCAGATATGTGGAAATGCAGAAATGCAAAAATGAAGAAATGCAGTAGGGCTTCTCCCCCTCCCCTCACCACTTCTGGAGGCTTTTTTTCCCCCTCTCTGGGCTTTTTTCCCCCCTCAGACTTTTTATTCCCCCCAGGCTTTTCCCCCCCTCAGGCTTTTTATTCCCCTCAGGCTTTTTATCCCCTCCAGGCTTTTTCCCCCCTCAGGCTTTTTATTCCCCCCAGGCTTTTTATTTCCCCCAGGCTTTTTATTTTTTCCCCCTCAGGCTTTTTATTCCCCCCGGGCTTTTAACCCTTTATTTATTTATTTATAGCCTGCCTGCATTCAGTATTGTTCTTCTGCATTCACATTCATAGGTAGGGGTGCAGGTACACACAGAGGCCAATCTTGCTGGTGTGTAGCTGTGTGATTACAGAGCTAATTGCTCTGTGTGTTCCTACTTTTTCAGTTTACTATTTCTCAGGCTTCTCCACCACTTATCCATCTAGAGCTTTTATTATAGTATTCACTCTTGTTTACTTGGGAACTTTTCTGGAGTTTTGGAGACTGCTTAAATTAAATTATGAAATTTCTTTCTCAAGGTATATAGTCTATTTATTGAAAAAATAGCTCTACCTGCTCCCTAAAAATATAGAACTGATATTCTTAAGAAAGTCAACTAATCTGTATATGCTTTCTCATTGT